CCCCCCCCCCCCCCCCCCTCAAAAATGAATTTTGTGAACTGACTGATATAATTTCTTTTTTGAGTTGCAGTCTACTATCTGTGTGAAGCAGCTTGCATATGGAATACTTGAACTATTAGTTATATCAGTTTTCCCTGAGCTCCGGGATCTTTTGCTGGGTCTCAACGAGAAGATGCGTGCTCCACCTGCATAGCAAATTCTTGGTTTAATCACTACTAAGCCGTGCTCCACCTGCATAGCACATTCTTGGCTTCATCAATATGAAGCCGTTGATTATTCGTACCAGCTATGATGAAATTAAAAATATCATAGCCACTTCCAAGGATCACCAGATTACATGGTTCCATTTGGTTTGCCCATCATATTCATTTTTGTTCACAAGAACAATCAGGTGAGGTATTACGAATGCCAAACAGGACTAGTGATATATTGCACAGAAGTTGTACCATGGCCATTAGCTGTACCCCTCGAATAATCAAATTGCACAGAAGTTGAAAATTAGAGCTTGTATAGAGGATGGTGATGCTTTTTTGTATATAGTTTCCTGCTAATCCAAGCAGTACCCCATGTCACGGGGATTTTGTGCTGTCGCAGATCTTGCAATTGATTTTTTGTGATGGATTATTTTACCCCAAACTGGTTCTTCCCCGTGTCACGTGATTGCGAGGCAATAAAATTTCTCTTTTCTTCTCCTTTACACGCATGTGCCCACATTAGCTATAAGTTGCCCGCTAAGGAAAATCCAGTGAGAAGAATATAAAGGAAAATGAGTGAATAACCAGCAACATTGAAAACAAGAAATGACGGAATCTATGTACTTTCGAGTGGATATATGCACTTTAAAAGGTAGAGTGTCATATTTCTAACATGTATAAAAGACTAAGAAGACGCTAACAAAAAGTGATGGAGACCGCAACAAGCTGCAAGAACTGTGGACCGGTGCAGCCACTTCATTTGCCGCTTTGTAAAAGCGTGTATTGACTCATCAAAAGCAGCTAGTCCTCCTAGAGTCGAAGGAATTTGCAAGTGTCGATTGCAAATAAAACGGGTGGCGTTCCTGCAGGGTGGAAAAAAAGCATGTTCATGTATATAAGAAATCGAAAACCTACAGGAATTCAAGGGATAGAGCGCAGCGCTTGTGCTGAATCAAATAAAGAAAGAAAATGAGCGAATAAGAAAAAATGTTTCATATAGCATAGCATATGATGCCTCTCTCAAACGCAAGGGATGGGTTGGGGGAAGGCCAATAACAACTGAGAAAATCATGCAATCGCTTTATGGAACATTTGAAATGTGATCTCGAAAGCAAAACATTTCTAACAATGGTGGGAAGAGATGGGAAAAACTGAAAAAAAAATAAGCAAGACAGGCAGCTGTGATAAGTAAGCCAGCATCAACACATGAAGGGGTGCGCAAAGGTTTGGGGAAAAGAGCTGAACTTTAATCACAGGAGCTAATAAGTGAGAGTGAAGAGACCTTGAAACAACATAAAATCAATCATAGAGAAGAGAAATTAGAAGCAACATAGAAATAAAAAGGAAAGCAGCTTAGCCATTCTGAGCACCGGCAGAAGAGGTTTACCTGTGCTAGGCCAATTAATCAAGTGGGAAATCACAGCAAGTGACTCTTTTGGTGATTCAATGGGGAAATTGCATGTTTTCATAATCAAGAAGTCACAACCTTATTCCAGAAAGGAAAAGAGAAGGTAAACAACAGTAAATTGTGGATGGAACATGAATGGCTTGGAAAAAAAATGACAGAAAAGATTGAGAACAGATAAAAATTATTTGTGGCTGAACCAGACTACTGCCATTACCATATTCAATGGAGTTAAGCTTTGTTCTGTGGAGCACTGAGCATGCATTGAAGCAGTAAGAAAGCGATATAGTGATTGGTCATTACCTCTACAGGGGATGACATTGAGAGTCGTCGTTCCTTAACAGGCGGTTCTGAAAAGAAGATCAAGTTGAGTTAAAAATTTCGCTGGTCTTAGACTATTTTGGAGGTTGGCTGGGCTTATTTGAGTTATAAACATGATGTTTGTGGTTATAAGAAGGAATAATCAATGAAAAAATGTTATGCAATTTTCGTTTTCGTGTGGGTGATAGGATTTGCTTCTTGTTTTTCTTCTGATTCTTGTTTTTTGTCATTTTGGATGGTTGGCAAATATGTCTAAGTTATGGTTGCAACTTGCAAGGCTTAGGTGTTTTTTTTCTTGGTTTGAATGCAATTTCCAGGTTTCTGCTCTTTTCTAGGTCTGGAATGAATTTATGGGTTTTTCTCTTTGAATGTTCTTAAGTTTTTTTTTTTTTCCCATTCATTTTTTAATGCTTTAGCTTTACTTGTGGTTTTAAGTTGAGATTCATATCCATATATACTTGTTTTATACCATCATTTGAACTTTTTGAAGTTTATTTTGAATCAATTGATACTTAGTAAATTTTAATAACTAGGTAATGTTTTTTAATATTGGATTTATTGGTTGAAAATCAAAATTTGTTCTGGTTGTTAATGCTTAATTATGTATTAGTTTTTCATATTGAATTTTTTGTATCTTAGATTTGATTTATAATAATACTTTAATTTTTAGGTTTATAAAAATGTTTTTTATATTTTTATTTTTTTTAATTTTTATTTTTTTTATTTTTTATACCAGTTTAATTTTTTGGTTTAGATTTTGAGCTAAAAACCCAGTTCACGTGGCTAAACTAAGCCCATTCTAAGCTTAAAGTATTGTTTAATTGTGAAAGATTTTACAAAGAAAAAAAAATATATTTATTGTTTTTAGGATGTATTTGACAAACATATTTTAATGAACTATTAATAGTTTTTTTTTGTTTTTTTCTTGTTTTGCCAAACAAACCCCAAATGATTTCTATTTTTTTTAAAAATATTTAGGGATCATTTTAAAATTATTTATCAGCCCCTCACATGTTTTTTTCAACTTAATATTTGAAATGTAAACTTATATTATAATATATTGATTCAATATTAAATATAATCACTTTTCTTTAAAATTTCAAGAAAATACAAAAACAAATAATCCAAAATTTCTTATTAAAAAATAAAAAAAATATATTTTATTTGTATGCATACAGTCAAATTCTAGAAATCTTCATGCATATTTTATAAAATATTGAAATACAAAAAATTAATTAATGAGTATCATAACAAGTTTGTGATTATCTATTATGATTTGATCAAAATTTAAAAAACATCACAACAAATAATTTGTTTAATTAGTATTTTAGATATGAATTTTACAATGTAATACATATTCATAGTATTAAATTAAATAAATTAAAAAAATAAAATGTTAGGAATTAATTGTAGACTTAAATATTTTGAGTATAAAATTATATCGTAAAATATATCTACATGTATTAAAGATAAAAATAAAAATAAATACATCATTAAAATTTAATCCTTAAAATTATTGAGTTTTAACTTGATAAAGTAGAAAACTCCTTACTAGGAAGGTTCTACTTCAAATTCATAAGATAAAGATTTCATTACAGAGAAATACGTTTTTAAAATCTTAGATAGACCAACAAATAAAAACATAACTTAAAAAACAAACAATTAATAATACAATTTATTATAAGTAAGGTGTATAAGAGCATCTCCAATGAAAAATGCTATATTAAAGAGCCAAACGGATAAAATGGCTTTTTGAATAGTGTAAATATAGTTTTTTTGATTATGTGGATTCCAATGGTAAAAAGCTATTTAGCAAAACCAATTATATTTTAATATATTTTATGTTAAATTAATTTTAATATAATTATATAACTAATTTACATATTTTATATAAAATATAATTATGTTGTTATTAATTATATAATTAATATGAGTAATTTATAAAAGTAATATAAAATTAATGACGTAATATGAAAGTTAAAAGATATAATTTAAAATTTATTTATATGAATATTTTTAATTTTCAGTTTTATATGTTACTATTAAAAATTTAATTTTTTTAAAAGTAAATTCAAATTCTAACTTTGAAAAAAACAGTCAACATTTTAAATTTTGATTTTTTAATTATTTTAAAAAATTCAAGCTTTGAAGAAATGACCGCCAACAATTTAAATTTTAAAATTTTTAAAAAATAACTGCTAACATTCTAAAATTTTAAAATTTGAAAAAACAATCCATCTATAAATATTCTCATATACCTTAACATTTTTTCTCATCATTTTCTTCTCTCCAATCTTTATTATATTGAATTATAATTCATCATGAATCATTCTAATTATAATTTTTATGATGCTTTTAATTTTGATGAAGACACTCCTGTGTTTGCTTTTCAAGTTGCTACCATTGTGGTTGCTGAAGAAAAATAGAATAATCAAGGGTAGAAAATAGGGTATCGTGGTTCTATTCTTAGTCACAATATTGTCAATCATAATAGAAAGAAAAGTGAGTTAAGGTTATATAATGATTATTTTGCTGAAAATCCTAAATTCATTGAAAGTTAATTTCAAAAAAGATTTAGGATGAGTTGCGTCTTTCTCTTTGGATCGCAAATGCAATGGAAGCTTATAATCCATATTTCAAACAACGAACAGATGCTCTTAGTGTTCTTAGTTTATCTTACTTTCAAAAGGTAATTGTAGCTCACATAATACTTGCATATGGTATTTCTACAGATCTTATTGATAAATATCTTCAAATTGAAGAAACCACTGCGATAGAAAGTCTTAGAGCTTTCATCAATGCAATCATAAAATTTTTTGGTGATTGGTATCTAAGGGCACCAAATAAGGCCGATATTTGTCTATTATTATCAATTGGAGAGTAACGTGGATTTCCAAGGATGTTAGGGAGTATTGATTGTATGCATTGGAAATGAGAGAAATACCAAATTACATGGCATGAGATGTATATTAGTCATTGTCGTGAACCAACTATAATTTTAGAGGTGGTGGCTTCACAAGATCTTTAGATATGGCATGTCTTTTTTGGAATGTCTGGATCATTAAATGATATTAATGTTCTTGGTTGATCACATATCTTCGTTGCACTTGCTGAAGGTCGAACTACTCCTGTCAATTATATAATTAATGGGCATGAATATACAATGAGATACTATTTAGCAGAAGAGATTTATCCTAATTGATCAACCTTTGTTAAGACAATCCCAAGGTCATTAAAAGCAAAGATAAAATATTTTACAAGTAAGCAAGAGTCTGTAAAAAAGGATGTGGAGAGGACATTTGAGGTACTCCAATCTCGTTTTGCAATTATACATGGACTTGTTCGATACTGGGATGAAGAAATGCTTGCAAATATTATGAAAGCTTGTATAATAATGAATAGTATAATTATTGAGGATGAAGGAGATTATTGATGATGAAAGAGCAATGAACCTTGGATTTGATCATAAACATGAAGTCAATTCATTTATAATAGTATTACATGGTAAAATACCAGAATTACATGATTTTTTTTCAAACTCATAATCGAATCAAGGATAGAGCAACTAACTCTTAACTACAAGAAGATTTGGTTTAACATTTGTGGAAACAATATGACAATAAGTAGAATAATTAGATTTGAACTTCTTATGTCATTATAAGTTTCAAGTTTTTTTATATTTTTTTCATTATGGTTGTTATATTTTAAGTTAATTAGTCATACTTATTATTGTTAAGTGTTAGAAGAACTTCATAAAAGTATTATGAATTGATACCACTTTTATAACAATACATTTAAAATAATCAAGAAATTTCTACATATTTAATTAAAAATACATTACACTAAACAATAAATCAATCTAGTTAATTAAAAATTAAAACCCTTCTTTTGCATACTTTCTAACTTTCTATTTTAAAAATATACTGCAGAAAGTGGATTCAAATTAGAAATATATATTTTCATAATTTGTTCTTCTTTTTGAATTTTGTCTAATTCTTGTTTATCTTGTTTTTGTTAAATCATCATAACTTGTTGCTCTAACATGATTTTTTAGTCTTATTTCTTCTAATCCTCAATTTCAACTAGAATATCTTTGAATTGTTGTAAGTAAATAAAAAGAAAGAGAGAGAGTGTGAGACTCCAGCTGGCCTACAGATTTGTTACAATTTCAACTAGAGTATCTTTGAATTGTTGTAAGAGATTTGTTACAATTACTTCCCCAGCTTTATTTTTTCCTTGTTTACGTTTAAGTCGTTCCTTTGCAGCCTTTTGACCAATTGGTCTATCTTGATAAATTAATGGTTCATTATCTTCTTCTAAACTAACAGAATCAGGGGTAGATGGAGCTGATGAAACCAAACTTGCATTGACATGACTTTTTTATTTCTTGTTTAACCTTTGATGTTGACTTGCACACTCAAATTACCATTTGAGTTCTTTTCTTAAGATAACCCAATAGCATTCTAGATGAAATCGTTTAGATGGAGCTGATGAAACCGAACTTGCATTGACATGACTTTTTTATTTCTTGTTTAACCTTTGATGTTGACTTGCACACTCAAATTACCATTTGAGTTCTTTTCTTAAGATAACCCAATAACATTCTAGATGAAATCGTTTGCCAACGCAAGAAATATATATTTATCGAGCATTATTAATCTGCTAAAAAATTAGAGAAATTAAATAATGTTAAAATATATGTTAAACAATTTAACATGAAAATGAATATTAAAATTACCCTCAATTCTTCAGTCATTTAACTTTACTAATGATTTTTAATTTGAGTAACAAATCTAATAACTTTACTGACTTCTCTATTTATTTCTTGTCATTTACTTAAAATGCTTATTTGAAAACGATTATTTAAGTTTCCTTCATTCTTTACAAAGTAAGCATGTACTTAAGCCCATAATTGTTTTTTTTTTGTTGTTTAACTCCTGTAATTGAATCTTTACTTATATTTAGTCATGCAGAGACAAGTAAACAATCATCTTTTGGTGAGAAGTTTTACTTCTTTGTGATTTTTTTGCTATATAGACATTTAAATTCGAACATGTTAAGTCATTAATTAATTGATTATAATCATTTGGTTGAGAGAGAATCTCTTCTGACTCACTCATAAGAAAGTTGGTAAAAGAACTTGAAAAATTTGAATCCATCTACATTTAAAAAAAAACTCAAGTTAAAACCTTATAAAAGTGTAAAAGAAGCTCACATTCAATGTCTAGTAATTTTATAATTTTCATACATGTAAATTAATAATAAGCATTGCCTTCTATTTGTTCTAACATAACAATTATAATATTTTTTGGAACTAAAAGAGAATTGATATATTGATTTAATTGCATTTTCAACAAAACATAATATAATTGACTTCAAATTAAAATAGATGATTAAAAATAAATTTTAAATATATCACTCTATATTTTTATCAATATCAGCTATTATTATTATTTTCTCTCAATTTTGACAAAGATAACAACATAAATAAAAAATTATCTTCCTTAACCTATATCAAAAACATAAAATAACAAAGAAATAAAAATCATCATAAATATCAACTTCACAATAAAAGATCTAAAAAATCAAGAGATATAACAAAAGAAAATAGAAAAAGCTTTTAAACAAGCATACCTTTTAATTTTAACTAATTAACACAACCAATGCTATTAATTAACCAGAAAATAATTGATTCTTATTTTTTTTAAATTTAAGAGAAGGGTGAGGTACAATACAAGATTTTAAAATTTACAAGTTCTTTCTTTATGCTTTTAAAGAAAAAAAAATAAACTGTTGGCCAACGACTATAAAAATAGCCATTGGCCAGCAGTCATTATTTTTTGCTATTTTTACAAAAAAATATAAAAATAACTCTTTAAAGGATAAATAATTAAAATAGTTATTCGTTTGCCTAAGCTGTTAAAGTGAACAAATACAAAATTAAAAGCTAAAAGTACTACTTTTTAAATTTATCTCTTCATTTAGCTTTTTCATCGGAGATACTATAAAAAATGATATATTTTTTTTTGTGCATAATCAATCTTTTTATATAAATTTTTATAAACCAATAAGTTTTTAATTACTATAACAATAATAATAATTTCATGATTTTTTAAATTATAATTTTATAATTAATTCTAATATATTCAAACCCTCGTCAATCCAAGAAAAAAACTCGTCATTCAACACACCGTACACACCCCAACACAGCTGTAAAGGTGCGTCTTATTTTTACGCGAAGGAGCAATGCACGAGAAAACCTAATTTTTCCTGCTAATCCACCACTAACACCCAAAATGCAATTTAGATTGTCAAACCATACCTGCTATACTTGTTCTCCTAAAGATCTCGAACAAGAAAAACTCAAGTTTCTATTGAATATAAAACTAGCCAAATCCGTGTTCCTCACTTATGAGTATGATACTACATAGACGAACATATGAAAAACAGTAGTATGTTTCTCTTACATTGAATCACTGACAAACCCATCATTACATAAGATGGCTATAACCTGTTAGCTTGGAATAGACGCTTAAAGGAGCCCGTCAAACTGGCCGACGAGAGAGTCCCGAATGTTGGAATATAGACCATACAGAGAGTACTGCCGGAGATTAGACACCTCATACCACGAATTTAGCGCTTGAAGATTCTTGTCAGTGCCTGAGAATGTTAATTGTATGCTCAGAACACAATCATTAGCACCACTGTTACTCTTACACTTTGAGATTGGTAATGCACAGTCTTCACCACCGAGGCAAACAAAGTCCTTGGAGCATGATTGACATCCAAATTTCTTCCAATACAAGTTTTGAAGGGTACCCTTCTGGAATTCAAGGACCTGAGACACAATACTTTTCTGATGTCAATGTACTATCCAGCGCAGAAAATAACAGAAAGGAAAGCCACAACTATGTTTAATGATTTTACCAAAGTAAAACTGGTGATGATCGTATTATTGTCAGAAATCATCACTGGAAATGATCTTGCTGCATGCTTCCTCCCAGCAAATGCTACCATATGGCTACCGAGCGGTCCAGGAGCGCCCTGAAAAGTTTGTGCGTATTATTCATTTCTTGCAGTTCACATATGAAATAACATTGAAGTTTCTTTCTTGCAGTTTCAATGAAAGAAATCGTAGCTCTATCATGAATTTCAAGAACTATTACTAATTCGTAGCAGCACAAACAAAGACCCCTTATTACATACCGGGTCGGAAGGACTGCTGTTGATGGTAAGCAGAGAAATCTCATCAACCTGAGGCCTAAACACAGCGAGCTGTGCTTTTTTACTCAGGCCTAGACGACTATCACAGGGAGAAAGTTGAACCTGATTGGAAAAGAAAGAATCCTTATCTGAAAATGCTAGACCGAATGTGAAACCATCGAACTTTTGTACCATAGCATCTGAACAAGGGTCGAAAACTTCATTGGTATCAGCAGCATTTATAGCAATCATCATCATCATCAACATCACCATCACTTTAACTATCATCTGTGTTGCTATCTTGTGCCTCAACATGGTCTTTATCATCTGCACGAACTGCACTCAGAAATTAACAAAGAAAAGATAACAAAATACAGATCTATTAAACAGAAGACTGCACTCAGAAATTGACAAAGAAAAGATAACAAAATACAGATCTGCTAAATTCAACATTGATAATAACCAAAAATTCAATACGGTAATAACAAGGCAGAAAAGAAGAAGAAGAAGAAGAAGAAAGAACAGCATGACATGCGAAATCACTAGAGATATAATTAAATCGGATACACGAACCAAGCAATGTTACAATCATGAACGCAAACTAACAGCTAATGAGATCAAATACTACTTTCACCGAATATTGTTTCCGAAATCACCCCCCCTCAAAAATCTTATACATTGATTTCTGTAACTAAATTCAATCATTAAAAACTATCACGTTGTGATTTCGTAATATGCAAAAGATTATAGATAAAGAGATTCAAGATAAAAACGGAGACCTACCATGGTCCGAATGAATGATCCTCGAAACAAAGACAATGGTGTTCTTGGTTCAATAGGATTCCTTTGATCAAATTTTTGTCTTCGTGGTTGAGGATAAACGGTCACCAATTGAACACGGACAAGAAGACAGGACACAGATGGGATTATATCTTGCAAAGTTTAACGTGGGAAAAATATTTGATGGATTTCTTTCAATGTTACATAGGAGACTTCAAAAAACGCGCCAGGCGGTTATACAGGCGAACCAGGTGGATCTTGCCCCTAACCGTTATTAGAAGCAAGTTCAAGCTTTTTCCTGTCTCCATTTGTTCTACAAGTGGGGTTTCGATATATGACTGGCCGGTTAATCAGTCATCCATTTCCCTTTTCAGTTGTTTTTGGTTTAACATAGTTTTAAAATTCAGTCCAATTCCACAAGTCAATCCAGAATTTAACTAATGTAGGGTTAAAATTAGGCTGGGTATATAAAAAATAAGAATAGTTATAAACTCGGCTAGCACCGGTAAAATCTGGTTGTAATCTATTATCTGCTTTTTTATTTTTTATTAAAATAATATTATTTTAATTTATAAAAAATATTAAAATTAACCCAAGCTTTTAGACCGGATTAACAACCTTAAAAACACTGATCAGTAGGTTTCCAGGTCACTTGACTCTACTGGTCTTCGGGATCCGACGGATTGCTTTCTTGTAAATACCGTAAAATATTCTTGACGATAGGATATATGTATAAGAGTCCAAATATCATAGAAAAAATATAAAAATTATCGTCATCTAATAGAGTTGTCTATTAGGGATCAAATTTGAGAATCTCAAGTTTCATTCGAGAATTCATAAATTACTCTTTCTTCATTTGATTTTAGAGTAAAATATATTTTTAATAAGTATTATAATTAAAAAAAATATTATTTAAATTTATTTTTACTCAAAAATTTAATTTGATCAGATATAACCTTGTTAAGTTAGGCCGATTATATATAGCAAGTAAATTTCTAAATAAATTTCATGTTAATTCAAGCTCTAAGATAGATTTTAATTCTTTGATTTCTAAATTAATTTGTTGTTCAAGCTAGTTTTTACTTGTTTGGATAAAAAATATTTTTAAGTTAATATTTTTTAAAACAACATAAATCAATACTATTTTTAAGTTAATAATATTTTTTAAAACAACATAAATCAATCTAAATTAAATTAGTTGAGATATGAAATTTCTCGAGCAATCTAAATTGAAATCAATGTTGTAAAGATGTCACAAATATAAAATTAATTGCATAAAATAAAGTTGGAGATCAATTCCTAGAAATTTTATAATTAAACAAATTGTTATGTCCATCCATACGTGAATTTAAAAATAAATAAAAATAAATAAATAGGACTAGAACATTCTGATGTAATCCGAATAAAAAATTATCGGTGTCCTAAATTAATGTTGGGAATCAAATTTGAAAAGTAAATTTAATAAAAAAAATAAATGTTCAAACAAATTCTTAATCGGTGGACCCCATCGCTCTCAATTTCTCCAAGTGTAAATGATGCAAAGTAATCTTTTCTCCACCAACTCCCCACCCACAAGGAACTGAGCCACTGAGGCGAGCTCTCTCCAATACTTGGTAGAGGGCAGGCCCCTGGTGGTCCCCTACTCACCCTTGATTGACACGTGTACAGAAACCCAGTCATGAAATAAAGGTGTCTCCGATGGTGATATTGGTGGGGTCATTCTTGACTCAGTTTTCGCTCTCGGGTTCTACCGAGTCAACTACAAATCCAAACCGAGTCACTTTGCCTCTTTGACACCAAAATGGAATGTAACAATTCGATTAAATTTAAATTAATTTTTTAAATTAATTAGTTAGGTCATAAAATTATAATAACTCTATAAAAAATAAATAAAAAATTATTAAATTAATTAATTAAATCATAAAATTATTATTTTTAATTAAAAACACCCAAGTCCCGAGGAATTGGCAGGAGAAAGGAACACGATGGCAAAGCCACCAGCCACGACAGCCATCTTCCGTCGGTTGGTAAATGCCACTTAAATGCACATTAGGCAGTTGTCAAAGTACACATTGCTGTTTCCTCTCCACGTATGACAATCTGTTCACTGTTCGATATTGCTATCACATGTTTAAATCATAGTTATTAAATCTTATCTTGTTCCATAAATTGATTTGGTATTGATTGATTTAAACCGTGCTTTAGGTTGAGTTTATTTTTAAATTACTTTGGATATTAATTTGGGTAAATTGATGACTTTATAACCGGTCAAACCTTTATATAAAACTTAACATGATTGGTTCTTTTTATAAATATTTTTTTAATTCAAAACTATATCACTTTAATCTAAAATTGATCTAATAATCTATACATACTAAATAAAATGAAAACAATACTCGTCAAATAAGAATTATAAAACTTGATAATTTTATAAAAAATCAAAATAAATTATACATTTTAATTTTTAATTATTTAAATATTAAAAGATAAAATTTAAAAAATCAAATAAAAAAACACTAAAAAACACTTGAGTTAACTAATCAAATTTTTGATCTAATTCATTAATTTAGGATAACATTATAAAATGCAAAACAAAATAAATTATAAAATTTAATTTTCAATCAATTTAATATTAAATATAAAATTAAAAAATCAGCTAAAAAAATAATAAACTCGAGTTAACTGGTATAACCCTCAATTCGGGTCATAAAACCGAGATAATTTTATTAAGAATAAATAAAAAAAATTATAAATTTTAATTTCTAATCTATCTAATTTTAAAAAATTAAAATAAAAAATAATTAAAAAAAATATATAAAAAAACTCAATTTAACCGTATTAGTCAAATCCTAATCTTGATATACATTTTGTTTTCACCACAGTGACATGAGTGCATTGTAACAATTTGCTTTCAAGATCACCATGTGGACCCTGCGTTGACGTGGAAAGTGCTATATCCACACACACACACTATAATATATAATTTTCAATACCTCCATTCATAGGATTTGGATCTTCTGGGCAGGTGTATGAGTTTTTTTCATGATTGATTTTCATTGAATAGAGAATATAAACCATGGAAAAAAATAATAATCTAAACCCATCAAACAAGATTAATTAAGGTAAAGAATATAAATTGTTTTCGTATATATAGATAAACCCATCAAATATGTTGACTGTTCTTGCCCATCTCTGCTCCACTTTTATATAGATTCCGTAAAGAATATAAATTTTTGTTCCGAGGAGGGATGCTTTTTTAACCCATACTCCCAGCCCCAGGTCTAAGCATGAATTTCCATTTTTTTTTGCAGAGGAAGAAGGAGCAGGTTAGTCAACAAATCGAACGGCGGAGATTAAACAAGTACAACAAAGTACAAAGCAGAGGATCCTTCTCTCTACGCTTTAATGATTGTCCCGTATTGTCCAAAAAAGGAAAAAGACAACTAAAAAAATTAACCTATAATTAGCACTTCTTACCTGGGTCAGGATTTCGAGTCAGAACATGTCCAATTCAATGAGTCACGGAAACAACACACAACTCGTTCACCTTTAGATCAAGGTTTGTTTGTTTTTTTTTCCAAAGGTTTAAAACAATTTGACTAGGAAACACTTAGTGTTGTGTAAGAAAAGGAGCAGATCTGAAATCAAAGAAACTCATCTTTCAATCAGATCTTTATCATTATGTAAATTGCCTCCTTCACTCACTCCCTCACTCCCACCCTCCATCCCTCTCTTACCGTACCCAAAATCTCGAATAAAAATGCCTAGACCTTTTTTTCAGAAGCTAATTCTCCCTGGCACTATCAGAGAAAAGAGACTGGTATATAAAAACCTTTCCTTCTCTTATTTTACATGCTTGTATTATTGCTTCTCAGGTGAGGTTTTGATAAGGGTTTAAACTTTATGAATTAAATTGTGAAATGATTGCGGTGGATGAGATTGAATGGAGTGATAGTTAAGTAAAAGGGTTTTGTTTAGATTTTTCTTATGTCTTGCTTCGTTGATGTGTTTTCTTGGTTTACATGAAGTTTGAAAGTTGGTGATATAATTTGTGAAATGATAAAAACCCAGAACTTCTTTCGATGATAAGATATTCAGAGTGATACCAGAGAGTAAAGGGTTTGTCAATGTTGTTTAGATTTTATTTCTTTCATGTTTCTTTGTTGTGTTCTTTTTCTTCGTTTTGTCAAAGCTGTCAAGATTTTGTTTCTTTCGTTCTTCTTTGTTGTATTTTTTTTCTTGGTTTTGACAAGAACCCTATTTTTTCTTTTATTAGGAGTGGACTATGTGAAGGAAGGCCAACTGGAATTGGGTTTTTATTCTCTTGCTTTCGTAGCTTTTTGTTTAGCTCAGTTTTTTGTACAGCAGGATTTTTCTCTGGAAAATATCTTTTGAAAAAAAAAATTAATTTGAGATGCTAAGAATTGATAATTCAATCGAGAGTCCATGAATGGAATTATGTCAGAGAAAGAAATGTTTGCTTAGATATTGTTGGAAGAAATCCTTTGTTCAGCTTGTAGAGTTTTGTTTAGGTTTGTTTCTGATTCAATCAAACAAGGTGGTTACTGGCTTGTTGAAAATTATTTACACCAAAAGTTTAGAATACTATGATTCAGCTAATTTAAATTGGTTATAGTTTTGCAAAAAGAAAAAAGAAAACAAGGCGTTAGCTTTCAACTACTGTATGTATGACAATTCACTGCAAGGGAATGGAAGAAGAATAGCATTTCCTTCTTGCATTGCATAACATTCCACCACAACATGGAAGTTTTAGTTTATCTTCATAAGGTTTCTTGGAAATTAATAAGGCATGATAATAGTTGACGTCTCGATTTGTTTTGATGTACTGGATTGTCACTTTATTCCAAGATAGTAAAATCGGACAAAATGAAGCATGTAATTGTTTTTAATGAATCTACTTTGCTTTCAATCATTCTAGAGATTTGAAAAGCTTTCTTTAGCTCACTGATTATGTCCTCTAGAAAAAAGCATCAACGTCTAGATTTCATTTCCTATTTATTTCGATGATATCTAGACAAGGAGCTTGCAGGTTCTGTTGTATGCTGTGCATTAAATTTGTCTGATGGTTTATCTTTCCGAACCTGATGTGTTCTCATTAGAAGATGTCATGTATGGAAACAAGTGGTGGCATTGAGAAAAACAATCATTTTCAATTAAAACAAAAACAATTAGTTTCACCAGGATCAACTGTAGCCTGCAATTGATAT